TAATTTGATTATAACAGGATTAATATAGCTTTTTGAAAATAAATTTTTTTGTAAGTTACTCAAACCCCTTTGATTATTAAAAGTTGTGTTTTCAATCATAAGCAAAATGTATAGTAAAGGGCTATGTGAACTATGCCTACTGCAGATATCGAAACCTGAATAAGCCTCAGACTTAACGCTGAACCACCGGGAAGGGGGCGACAGATATAAACTCAAATGAACAACACACGTCTGACACTAAACAGGCATGACGTCGTTCAGGAAAGAAACAATACTACATGATACTGAAAAATATCTTATACTATGTTCGTTTCTCGTGGTTTACCAAAAGTGAAGACAACATTTGATAATAAGAAAGTATTATGTGCTTTAGGGTTCTGTTACTAAGTGTAGTATGGAAAGAAAAGTCATCCATGTGTTTGCTGAAGAAAGAAATTCATGTTTTTTATCTATTATTTTCATGTTTTCGGTGTTCTATTTAGTGTAAGTATTTACAACATCTCATAGAATGTGATAACTAAGATAATCTAAAGGTAGAAAATACAACCTAAGAGGAGAGGATGTAGTTTATGAAAGTCACGGTTTGTGTTTATAAAACATTTCCTTTCAATGGCATTATAACTATGACAGTTTATGTCGGAAAATTTCTCGAATATGGTTAGAGTAGCAATAAATATAAGTTATACCCTTAAGTTAGCGTTTAACGTATATGATATTATACAAGGTGTCGATCAATTATTCCATTTATGTCAGTCATAGGTCTATAAACTTCGAAAGGTCTGAAATAATCACAATGATCATTATACCACTAGAGCCAAAAATATTCATTTCATCACGTAAGGTCTTAGGTAGAAATAAAATCTAAAGTAATGTTCTTACCGGCATCGCCATTATAGGAGCCAAGAAACATCTGGTATTTCATCCTCTCACTCAACACAACAAAATATGAAAACTTAGCATAGGCTGTTTTTCCGGAGAAATCTTCTAAATCCACTCTAAGCTCCACATCCTTGTGGTTAGTTAAGGCAAATATTTTATTGTTTCCTTTAATATAAATTGATACTGTATGTTATTGTGAAACACAAATAATGTCACAAGTGATGATATTTTAATAATACAAAAGGAATAAATTGACAATAATATTCGTTCATAAGATAAACAGACGAATTAAAATATAGACATGATGAATTACCTTAATAAGTGGATAAAGTCCAGAAAACAAATCATCATGAACTACTGG